TGCTCATCATGTTAAGAAGAAAACTGACAGAAGTGTTTTCAAAATTATTAGACAAATCTGAAAATGAATGCAAAGAGACAAACAGCATTCTTGATTATGATGATGATATTGGTCGTAGACGTAAAATCACAGCCTGAATTCTCTGATGATTCAGAGATATTATTTTTCCAAACTGTAGAATAAGTGAATGGACAATGAATTTGTAAGGACAAAGAGGAACTATGACATTCCTGTCCAGTTAGTCATCCAGTGGGAAGGACTTCATCATGGTGTATTTTGCAAAACAACTCAGAACACTGCATTTTCCTAAAAGGATGCTATATGACAGTGTTTATTCATCCTTGAAGACGTATGTGTAGTAAAAGTTACTTGATATGTTTCTAAGTGGACAAGTACAAATGTACCTACCAAGGGGACAGAAAAGAAATTGATGATACAGAAGAAATTTATTGGGCTTATAATACTAATTTATAAATGTATAAATGAAATATTTGCAATCAAGGAGGAAAGAACATGGTTGTCTTCTCTTTAACAAGACTATTAATGTCAGATTTTCAGTGTTTTGGGGTTTTGATGATAGAAGTATGAGATAAAAAACCAGGAAGAGTGATTAGCTAGGATCTATTAATTAAAGATGCATATGAAATCTAGAGTCTTTATTTATATATCGATAGTTCCAGGTTCAAGCATAAGAGTCAATGAGCAACTACTTGATTTCCAAGGACATGTTTCACTCAGTTTCTCATTGCTGGGATAAAATACCCAACACCTACCAGTGAAAGGGCAAAAGTTTTACTTTAGCTCAGTTTGTAGAGGTTAAGTGCATAGTCAGCTGGTTCCAAGGCAGGGCAGCATGGCAGAGGGGCATGGCAGAGGACAAACAGTCCATGGAAGGGCAGGTAGAAAGCAGTAAAAGCAGAGAGCCCATTTCCCTTCCGTCCCTTTGTATTCCATCCAGACTATAAACCCATTAGTGGGTGCCACCCACACCCAGGGTGGGGCTTCCTGCTTCAGTAAATCCATTTAGCCACACCCCAAACCACTCTAATCCAAATAGGGGACTAATCAGGATATCACACATCCTCACTTCACATTCCTACAGCTGAGCTCCAGCTGCTTCCCAAAAGCCCCACCTATAAGCACGTGAGGCTTTGGGGGAGGGGGATACCCCCATTGAAGCCATAACTAGTTTGCAGTGTTTTGATTTTTATTACAATCTAAAATTGTAAATGTGTATTTTATTGCATTTTTATTACTTCTAAGATCATAAAGTGGCTCAAAAATATAAAAAAGATACTAAATGGTAGTGATTATTTTATACAATATCAAAGGTTATCAGTATGCTATTCTCTTACTGACATAAAACAAAAGGATAGTTCCAATGGGTCCCAGACATTATTTAAATTATTTTTGGGTAATTAGAACACAGACTTGTTCAAATATACCAGCAAGAAAAAAAATGTGAACTAGGTACATTTTATTGCAATTTTAAAAGGTATGTAAATTCATTTTCTTTTCAGAAAATTTTTTTTAAAAATTGTAATATGCCTAGAATATAATCTAGTTTTGACAGATTCTGGGTTTGACAGAAATGTTTCATCATTTTAAATCATTCAGGATGATAGTCTTTTGTTGTTTTTAAAATATATAGTATAACCTTCCAAGGTCCAAAGTCTGGGCTACATTTCTACCTTTGGCAACTTAATTTCCTTATATGTAAAATAAAGATAATGAATATCTTGAAAGATTTTTGTGACAAGTGAATAATAAACTTAATGAACCTAAAACTATGATCTTTTTTTTTTTTTGGTTTATTCTCCAGTACCGGGAGCCGAACTCACGACCTTGCGCTTGCCAGGCAGGCGCTTTTGCCGCTGAGCTAAATCCCCAGCCCCTAAAACTGCAATCTTAAGGAGGTACTTGATAAATGCATCCTCCTTACAGAAAGCTGTGATGGAACTTAGTTCTTTGGTCTCTTACTAATTGCAATCATGCTGGTGATTTCTTCCTGGGCCTTGTTAATTGCAGTTGTTATAGGTTCCTTTCAATCACCAACCAACTTATTTCATTTATCAATAAAGATTTACTGAGGCCAGTGATATAGCCCAGCAGTACAAGCTCTGCCTGGCAAGTGCAAGGTCCTGAGTCTGATTCCCAGCACAAAAAATACACAAAGATTTACTGAACACCTACAAAGTGACAGGTAATTTTAAATCTTAACTTGGTCATTAATAATGATGTAATTATTAAATATGTATCTGTATCTTTATATGTATGATTATTGTCAGGATTCTGAGACAGTAAAATGCTAGAAAATAATGAATCAATGAACAATGTAACAAGTCTCATTTTTATAGCACTCCAGTCAAAATCATCATTTAGCTAGGTGTGGTGGCACACATCTGTAATCCTAGCACTCAGGAGGCTGACGCAGGAGGACTACCAAAAGTTTGAAGCCACCCTGGACTACACAGTGAAGTCAAGGACAGCCTGAATTGCATAGTGAGATCCTGTCTCAAAAAAAAAAAAAGACTTGCTAAATGATGATCTTTTTTTCTTTTTGAGACAGGGTCTTGCTATGTAGTTCAGGCTGGCCTTGAACTCACTGTGTAGTTCAGGTAGCCCAGACTGGCCTCGACCTCACAACGATCCTCCTGCCTCAGACTCCAGAGTGCAGGTATTACAAGCGTGTACCACCATGCCAGGCCAAGTCATAATAAATACTTAAACAGAGGTAAGTATAAACTGTATTTTTATAAAACTGTATCATTATAGAAATATGTGTTTTACCCACATTTTTTAGCTTATTTAAGAACAAGAAGATCTGAAATTACAGTAAGAGTGAAACAATAAAAGGGTCAGCAAAATAAACTGAAAGCAAAACATTTACAAAAGAGCTATCACGAAGATTCTAAAAAATAACACTGCTGTATATAATAGGACTTTAAAACATTCACAAGAGAAGTTCTCAATGTAACAGAAAAGAAGTTAAAGTTAAAAGACCCAAAAGCTTGACCAAAAATAAATTAACAGAACAGAAAAATGTGTGTACACGTAGACACTATTATCATTATTCATCTGTTATAAATACATAATATGTACTTTTTAGAATAAAGTATTTTTAGTTACAGTGAAATCTATGTAATGAAATACCAACAGCTACTGCTGACAAATACCCCAGAAAAACCAAACAGATATAATAAATAAAAGATAATGGAATACACCTCCAATTCTATTCAACAATAAATAAGACTATTTCTGCTTGAAACATAACTAGCTTGGGTTTCCTCTGTACAACAGGAAACAGGATAAAAGGATAACAGACATACCCTTTGAAATTCTGTGAAATCACTCTTATTCTTGAATGTCTGAATTTTCAATGTGACATGACATATTCCCAAATTACTGTATGTACTACAACAAGATTAAGGAGTATCCCTATACTCTAAACTCCCATTCTCTGCAAGACGTAATTGTCCTTGAAAAATTAAATGACACAAATAAACACTAAGGGACTCTGAGATACTAGATATGAAAAATCATTTTAAGGATAAAGTAATAGCTGGTGGCTCAATCACAGCACTCTAGGAGGCTAAGGTAGGTAAACTGGAGCCCAGCCCAGGCAACTGAACAATTTAGTGAGACCTTGTCTCAAAAATAAAAGGGAGTTGCAGCTCAGTACATGGGCCTTGGGTTCAATCCCCAGCACTATAAGGAAAAAAAAGACAAAGTAACTGAAAAAGACATGGCAGTATGTATAAGAATACAACAATAATGATAGTAATAAAAAAAACCACATCAATCTAATGGAGTGTAGATGGTCAAAAGCAGAGAAAAAGCAAGGAGGGTAAACAGTTGCAGCGCCTATTGAAAATATCCATCTCCATAGTAGGGATAACCTAGCTTAATGCTATTAACCATTTGGAGTCACAATTAATTCACCCTGGTGGGAGATAAAGATATGACAGTGATATACGAACAAAGAACATGAAGTGTACATTTGAGACCAAAATAAAGAAGAATTGGTGGGGCTTAGAAAAATGGAGAAAAGAGCAGGAGTTCTTGCAGTACTGAGGTAGGAAACAGGATTGTGACTGGGGATATAGCTCAGTGGCATAAGCACCTGCCTGGCAAGTGCAAGGTCGTGAGTTCGATCCCCAGTACCGAAAAAAAAAAAAAAAAAAAAAAAAAGGAAACAGGATTGAAGTAATAATTAAGAACAGACACAGGGCTGAGGGTATAGCTTAGTTGTAGAACCTCTGCTTAGCATATGAGTCCTGGGTTTGAATTAGAGCACTACACACACACACACACACACACACACACACGCGCGCGCGCGCATGTTCCAGGCAACTGGAAAAGTTTGTTCTACCTTTTTAAAAAACTTGATAAATCCTTTATAGTTCATACAGACTAGTAAATCTGGGTTGCTTACAACGGGCATGAACACACTTGCTAATATCATGTCCTAATTGAAAATAAATTTGGAAGACATGCATGCCAGATGAGACAAAATACAATCATATTTAAGTACCAACACAAAAGATTACAACGAACACATGAGCAGTCCCCTCAATACACTACATTCACTTTACATGTGTTTGTATATCCACTTCTGTGAGTACACTTATAACTATTTTACAGTAATTCTGTACAATGTCACTAAGAGATATATCACATGCAAACTTCTCATAGCCCCTTATGTTTCTGAAACTAGAATTTTCTTAATCAGAAATGGAGGTAGATACATTCAGCACACTTCACATAAATGAATATCCACTTTGACATTTATTAAATATACATTCAAAGTCATATGATTATTAGGGATGAAGCCAGTTAGGGTCCACACCCTAGAAGAGTCCTCCAATTTTAAGTTTAAGGTGACTCACCATATTAGTAGAAATTTCATGATTCTGTAATGGGCCTGAGAGGAACCCAAGGAAAGGCTAATATGATTTATCAGTCAAAACAGGAAAAAAAATGTAGCCAACAATGCTCACCTTATATGATTTTAAAGGAGTAAATCCGATCATATATTTAAAGTATCTGGCCAATGTAGATAATACTATAAAGATGTCATTTCTTCACAAATTAAGTGCATTCTCAATCCAAATCCCCACACAATCTTGCATGCAATTTTACAAGTTATTCTAAAATTCATCTATAAAAGAAGATATAGAAAAATATCCAAATGAAAAAGAACATGAGAATTTTTCAATCATATATATGAAAATAGTGTAAAAAAGTAATTAAGGCAGTATTTGGTAGTGTAGACATTGAGAAAATGATCAATGAAAAAGAACAGTATCCTGACACAGGCCTTTATATATATGGGTTCTGTACAGCATAAATATAGAAAGGAATGAACAGACCACTGTACTGGTAACGTGTTCAGCCAAGTGGCCACTTTTAAAAACCAATTAAATTCCTACTTGTATCAATACACAAAAATAAATCCCAGGTAGATTCAAGTTTTAAAAGTAATAGGTATAGTAGCTCATGTCTGTAATCTTAGCCCTCTGGGATGCTGAGGCAGGAGAATCATAAGTTTGAGCTCAGCCTGGGAAAAATGAAAAATAAAAAAAGGCCTGAGGATGTAGCTCAGTGTGAAAGCCCTGGGTTCAATTTCCAGTATTGGAAAAAAATTGTAAAAGTAAAATTAATAAAAGAAGTACTACAACATTTATATGAGGCTCGGAGAAGGGCCTCAGTAAGACAAAACTCAAAAGCCATCATTTTCACCAAAGAATAGAGACAGTGCATATATTTTATTCTTCCACTGCAACTTCTTTCCACTAACAATAATGAAGTAAATCTCAGTCTCTACTGTGGATATCTAATCATTACACAAAATTCTTTCTGTACTTAAAAAATTTTACTTATGTAAGTATGAAGAAATAATATAGGAAAAAGTTATTTTTTTAGACAGGGTCTCACTGTACTTCAAGCTGTTCTTGAACTCACTATGTAGCTCAGGCAGGCCGCAAATTTGCCAATCCTTGTGCCTTATCATTTCTTTCTTTCTTTTTTTTTTTTTT